CCCCAGCAGACCAGCGGGGGGCTGGGGGGGCACAGCCGGGAGAGCTGGCCCCAGCTGACCCCAGGGGTATTCCATACCATAGGACGTCATGCTCAGCTTATAAAGCTAGGAGAAGAGGAAGGGAAGGGGGACGTTGGAGTGATGGCATTTGTCTTTCCAAGTCACTGTCACGCGTGATGGAGCCTGGCTGCCCTGGGGATGGCTGAGCACCCAGCTGCCCATGGGAAGCAGGGAATGGATTCCTTGGTTTGCATTACGTGTTAAACTGTCTTTATCTCAGCCCACGAGTTTTCTCACTTTTACCCTTCTGATTCTCTCCAGAGGGGGTATGTGAGCAAGCAGCAGGGTGGGGCCTGGCTGATGCCTGGCACTAAACCACTGGGAGAATACTGGGAAAACTTATGCTGAACCACTACAACCCCAGGCCTAGGATGTGTCCCAGAGGGAGAGCTACACTGGGAGTTTCCAAACAGCATGGACATCACAGGCCATCAGGGACACCTGAGACCGAGGGCTTCAGTTAACCGGGACCAGGAGGTCACAAGAATTCTGAAGTCCTAACTACAAGTGGCAGACAAACTTCAGCTTTAACAAAATAACAAAAAAAAAAAAAAAAAAAAAAAAAAAAACATCTGGATCACACCGAAGTCACAACATGCATGCAGCCTGTGTCACAAGAATATCTTACACTGGTTCAAAGTGCTCATTCCCTTGAATCAAGAGTGGAACATCCTGCTTGAGAAAAAGTTAAGATGGGAAGAGACAGGAGTCTTACCCGCTGAACTCAACATCCTTAATCCCACACAAGTTCTTCGGGATGAGAGCACGTTCATATAATTACAACCAACCAGGCTACTGCAGCATAGCAAGATACCACACGTCAGCCGAGACCTGCGCTCTGTGCAGGTGCTCCCAGCCAGTTTCATTTGGAAGCACAAGCACTCGGCTTAAAACGTCTTCACGGTGTTTTACACTGATGGATTTTATTTAGTACTTGCTTGTTTGACAGTAACTTGCACTTGATGCTGGGCAGCAGTAACTGGACTCCGTGCAGTTGTGCTGACACTGCTGTCGGGGAGCTCTAACAGCGGTGCTGCCCACCATCACGCCCAGGGGCATCTCCCTGGTGGATTTTCACTGTATGGGCTTCTACGGGCTTGCTGCTCATAGCCACAGCTGCCCAGTGACTCCCACGAGGTTCTGTCCTCAGGTGCACATCACCTCGTGAAGTTTTGACTGCTAACGTCCCACGACCACTGCCAGAGTCACCTAGTGCTTTCCATTACCTGCGGATGAAAAGGGTATCCCAGTGTTCTATGAACCACGAGCTGCGCAGATCATTCTACAATGGAGGTCTGCCTCAATGATTTGGGGTTTTTTTTGGTGGTAGGCTGCAACAAGTAGAATTGTTCAGTCATTTAAACAAAGCAAACTTTGCTTCTTCTGGTGCCTTTTTTCCTTGTGACATTCTTCTCTGCACAGTTGCCCAAGGGCTGTCTGTTATCTCTGACTACCCCCAGGAAAATCCACAGGGGTAACAAATGTTCATCAGTTTCTGGTCACCTCAGCTTGCACCAGCCCAGCAGATGCTTCCTGGCAGTTGGCTGTGTCCTTCAGTCAAGATCCCATTTGTCCCACGTGCACTCTCAGTTCCACAAGCTCTCACTTGCCAACCAGAGCAGACTTGCAGTATTTGCACAGAATGAGGGAATTCAACCCCAGTTGCTTCTGGCAACTTGGGGGAGCAATGTCACACCAAAACAAAGATCAGAAGAGTCTCCCATCTACTGCCAGTGCTTGCTGGCACCTGAGAGATGAGGAAGGAATTAAAAGGAATAGAAGAATGGATGAGGGAGGAGGCTGTGAATAAACATGCTAGTGAAAGATGGGATGAAATGGTCTACAACCACCAAGGTACTGGGTTCAGAGAGTGCAGAACAAACCTTTGCTACCGACAAACACTTCTGACGTTGTTCCCCTTCAGTGGCCTGGACGGATGGTCACAATTCTCTGACACCCCCTGACAACGCCCACTTTAACTCACAGCCAGACATTGTCTTTTCCACAGAAATCCACCTCAGTTTGCACACAGCGTGGATGACAGTCAGGGAACAAGTCAAAGCTGTGCCAGAAACGAGGTGATGTCTGCACGTGCCCGACTCTTGCACTGTGAATGATGGAAAACTGATGGGAGCAAGGGACCATTGAAGAGAGGGGGGATTGGTGCCCAAGGCTGCTGATTATCATCTGGAAAAAGCTGGCTCTTATTCCCTTAAGCAGTTTAACAAAAAAATTACTTTTTACTCTGCTGATCACCACATCTTCATCTCCCAAATGCCTGTTACAGGTGACATCTGGCCAGGTCTAAAGACAGCGAGGAGCTTACAACGGCGAGCGATCTGCAGGTATGAAATGCATTACCTCTTCTGAAGATCATGGGGGAGGGGAAAACAAAAAAAAAAAAATCAGGCCACAAATATTTCAAACTCAACTCCAGAAAATGAGCAGGATCCTTATTTGGGCTTCAATTCCCTCTTCCTCCATACCGTTCTTCCTCACAAAGTTTAGCTCATTCATGTATTGGTGTTTATGCACTACTCGATCCCGCTATTACTACAATCCATGTCTTGAGGATAAAGGGCTTCCAAGTCGGCAGAGGCAGGCACGATACAGGAAGGCCCACGGGAACCTTCCCATTGTAGATTTGCAGCTCAGTATGACACGAGACTGACATATTATCCAGGCTGTTTCGGGGCTACAAACCAGTCCAGCATTACTGAAGCTGCTGTTAAGAGGAAAGGGCTGCTGTACCCAAACAGCAAACATTTCCTGGGTAAATCCAGGAAAAGACCTGCTGCATGCCAAAATGTTCTGACCCACAGCCAAAACAGCTTCTTTTAATGGAAGATGCTTTACACTGACAGTCTGGATGCTGCCTGGCTCCTGCCTGGCAACCCTCAGGGTATATGATCCAAATGTTTTCCATGAAGATTACACTAGGCAGAAACAGCAGGGTAACAGAAGACTACAGCAGAAGGTTCAGATCCAAGCCACACAACTGCCTGGCCCACGCTGCATCTTGCCTCTCTTTAGCCAGCAGGAGGACTGCTGGAGAAGAGACACCAGTTCCCACTTCCAGAGCATGGGGGGAGGGAGCTTCAATCAGCGAACAGAACCTCAAACCGAGGCAGAGGATGGAGATGCTGAGATGTCATGAAGGCTAGCAGCCCATCTTTGACCATTTTCTTCTTTAGGATCAAAACCAATGAGCACGAACCCACTGCTCTCTGAACTCTGCGCGTGCTGTCTCCAATCGGAAGGATTCCAGCCTTTGCTGTTTCTAAAACAAGGTCTCTGAAGAGGGATGGGAAAGAGATAGGAGTGAATGAAAACTAGAGACAAATAGACTGGATTTGCAATCTTAAAAAAAATGCAGAGAGGTAATCCCTTCACAATACTCCTGAAAATAAGGCGATTATCAAAGAGAAGTGACAGAGCAGTTGAAGAAAAAGGAAAAAAAAAGAAAAAAGAATCTTTGGATAGTTCTATCAGGTTCTGAACGTTTACATCCCACCTAGTATCTGATGAAGGCCCAAATCCAGAGCATCAGATCATTCTCTCCTCCTCAGCGTCTTGAGGATCTTACTTGGTTGACAAGGAGCACACAGTCATTCCCCAATCTTTCAAGGAGTGGAGACCTTGCCAAACGCTGGAAATCTGTGACTGCAAAGGAGAGGTCTTACATTGCCACTCGAACGTCCATGAGAGATCCTGAAGGCTGAAGCTACGTGGACCTTGTGCTTAGTAGAGAGGCCACTGTGCAAGCTCAAGCGGTGCGACACTCAGGTTCCCAACTCCTTCTGGCACTCCTCTGGAGTTTACAAATAATCTGGGAAGACTTGTACTAATTTAACAAACAAAAAAGATGACTTTGGATTTAAGTCCATTTTAAAGCAGAGACCAGCTGACAAAGATCTTCTGGTCAAATCACTCCAATGATTTTGACTCTTTGCTCTGTGTGGACTTGGCAGGGCCCTGCCCTCTCCTGAAATGCTATCATTACTAGACAAAACAATACCAGAAGCATATATAAACACTCTAATTCCTTACCAGAAACTGCAGGTTCTTTTCAATGTGGCCAGGAGGGACACAGTTGTATGCCCAATTTTATTTTTCAGGCTTTGGTAGACTTTCATAAGTGAGAACGACAAGCCTTCTGCAGTAGCATGTCCAAGAGCGTGTAGTACTTCGTTTAGATTGCTTCCAAGGAGGTTTGTAAGGCTTCCACAGGTCCTGGAGCACTTTAAACTCACCGGCCAAGACAGATGTGCATAGATTCACTACTTCATCTAGGGAGAATGAGGAGACCATGGCAGAAATCAGCTGCTGGGAAAGAACAAATTACGTTCTTCTCTCTTCTCCTCCTGCCTCTCAAGTGTATGATTTTCCAAGTAGCTCGCTGGAAATGGCTTAATTGGCTTCTCGGAGGAGGGCGATTTAGACCTAAATGCCAGTTGATGAAGCAAGCCTCCTGAACAGCCCATTTAGTCCAGTGATCCTTGCGAATCCTAGGCCTCTTCCTACACTTCTGGAACTCCTCCTTGACTTCCAGTATGCTACCAGGAAGGCAGAATGTAGACATGTAGAAGAGGAGTTTCTTTATCCTCTCTCTCAACTAAGCACAGCAGAGACGCTCTCCTCTAAAGGAGAAGCCACTCTTGTCGGATGCACCCTGCATGTTCACAGGAGAATCTGGACTGAGAAAGCCTCTTTAATCTGATACTCCAGAAACCCCATACGGATGACAGCGTGACCTTCCTAGAGAAGAACACTAGTGCTGAGCCCGTCAACACATTACTCTGCACTGTGAGCCACTGAAGTGCAGAGGTAGGGACCTCAAAGGTAGAGCACACCACGCCATTGCTAAGGAGGCCATCGGTGCCGAGGCTCCTACCACTGACAATCCACAGCAAAATCAGCGATAAACCGTTAGGAGTGGTGTCAGCACGTCATGATTTAGAGGTTACCATACATGCAGACTTTGAATTCAACATTTGGGCATCAGTAAAGGTCCTCTCAGGCTTAGGAAGGGTAGACTAATAAGCCTGGGATGACTCAGTTCCTTGATGACTTTGTTCCCTGATGGATGGCCCTCGGCAGCCAGCACCGACAGCTGAGGGGCGAAGTGGCGCAAGGTAGGGACACAGTGTTAAGGCTTTAATGGCAGGGGGTTTGGGCATCAGGGGGAGTCGACTCACCACGGCACTCCCTGAGAAATAAGGGATTACGGGGGCCTGGGGCCAGACACTTGTAGGTATCTGAGGAGCCTTCCGTCATTTTTAGGAGAAGCAGCTTCAGGTGGCTCCTGTGCTCTCTGAATCCATTTCCAAAAAGCATGGCGGGGCAAGCACTGCTCCATGACATATCCTTCAAGACATGGGAGGCACAGGGAGCAGAGCTAAGAGAAGCTTCTGCCACACCACCACTCCCTAGACGACAGGCTAGCTGGGCTTGATGTAAACAAACATGGAAGTTTTGTCAAAAAGTGCAAGAGAGAGAAGTTATACGAAACGTTACGTACGGTTCAGGGGAGAGAGGGCTCACAGGGCAGTACACAGAGTACGCACGCACCGCAAGCGTCCTGTCACACTGATGCCGGCAGTCATTTAAACGCGACTTAAGTTTCCTCACTTCCCATCCTAACCTGACTTAACCACACATGGTTACACGTTTGCTGCATACTAAGTGTAAGTGCAGTATTTTCCTCTATAGTTTCTATATTTTCAGGACAAAAAGCACTCTGACTCTTGTGGTGAAAAGAATTACAGGAACATAAGTTATAGTTTTAACTGATGGTGGGATTATTAAAAAGCAGCCAAGCTGCCGGGCTGAGGTGCCGCATGGCGCCCATCTCATTTTCTTGTCAACAAGAACAGTGGATTTTCTGGACACGCGGACTCTGTGGGAACGGCCAGATGCATGTGTTATACCAGCTAGCTACATGCATGCATGCAACGTAAGAACTGGTTTGAGTGGGATACAGGTTCAGCTAAAAGCAATCAAAGGAAATTAAGGAAAGAAAAAAAACTAGGCCGAGCGTCACTTCACATATATTTAGCTTTCAGTCATTTTTCCTTTTATGTCCCAGTAATTTCAGACATTTTAAAACTAATCTGCAGAGAAAAATTTGGATGCAGCAGAAAGATGGAAAAAGATAAGCGAAAAGATATTTCCATCTTTAGCCTGGAAATCCTCTCGCTTGATTTTTGGACGTGGGGTCGTTTCTATCCAGCCCAGTACGCGCTCTTGCTCGGCTCATTTAGAGGAGAACCTGCGCTTTGTGCGCATCCACGCCCCGAAGTACAACACACCTCATGAGAAATTCAAGCACAGGTTTGTTAACATATGATCTTGAAAGTAAGATGTTGCCAACAAGGATGCTGGTATTTCAGAAAAGGATAAATTCTTGGTCCCCAGGCTTGCTTGTAAGTGAATTACATCCTAGAGGGGAAAAAACCCCAAAACAGAGCCCAACAAAACCTTACACTGGGAGAACGGACCGATTTAATGGGTCTTTTTCAGCCCTAGCTTGTAAGTCTCTTTAATTAATGTAAAACAAAATGCAAGATGACAGCCATGAGCGTAAAAAACAGATTGCTGAAAGCTGGGATGACTCCAGACATGGCTCATTTCGTGAGCGTTCCACACAGTCACAACTTAAACTGGGATGTGACCCTCAGTTACTGGGCCAGCAGAGACTGAAGAGGTGACAGATGTCCCCGTGGCACTTCGCCACTCAAAATCCTCGCTGGCGTCAAGCCAAAAAGGATTCCCCTGCAAGTCGAAGTCATGTCACGCGAGCTGGTAGTGACTCGATGGATACAATACCCAGGAAAGAAAAGGCTGTCCTGTAGGCTGAAGGATTTCGCTTGTATTGGTCCTGACGGCCAAGCCATCCTCTGCCGCACCAACGCAATCAAGAGCGGAATTTACTCCACCATAAAACTGAAGCACTCCAGAGATGCAAAGCCAAGCACGTTTCCGCATGTTCTCACCTACCAGCATCCACCCCAAAGCAGTTCGAAGTCTACCGCTCAGCGAAGAAGGGCCACGTGAGGGTGACCAGGAACACAGCACTACCAACAGCATGTCCCTCCCACCCATACAGAGTTTGTTTCCATCCCAGCAGATCAGGAACACACAAATATAACCCACACCATCAAGCTTACCCTGAAACACACAGCCCTAACCACAGCCTTGAATACTTTGCTGTTGAATACTTTCTTTTGACAGTGCTAACAGAGCTGGCCAAGCCGCCAAGTCATAAATTCTGCCTCTTTGGAAAGTAACGCTGCCTGGCGGCTGTAAAGGTCATCCCCTCCCTCCGCTCCTCCAAAGCACACCAACACACACCTCAGACTCTCAGAGTTTTTCAGCAGTTTAAGAACAGTTCTCTGATTAAACATTACTTAATAAATTCTACAAACCCTCCTTAACGGGCAGGAGGAGATCCCACCACGCAATACCGCAGCGTGAGGAGCGGGCAAGCCCAGCGTGGGTCCTGCAGCGGCACAAGGTGCCAAGGGCACATCTGGCAGGGCAATTCCTGGGCTAGCAGGCAGCCCAAACTGCACTCACCACTCAAGGCACTTCCGCAGCAGTAATTTATGGGTAATGACATACTACAGGAGATACACAAAAGAAAAAGGACTAGGGAAAGTGATAGGCGGCATCGCAGCAAGTAACATCCCTACCCGACTGCAGTTTGTAATGTCGGAGCAAGATCTGGAGGTGTTAGTTCCCCAATAGCTACCACTAATTCTGTTTGCAAACCAGAATAAAAGAATAAAAGCACAGAGCAGAAGGCAACCACAGGTAGCTATGCTCATGGCTTCGTTCCTCTAGTACAGGGCAGAGTGATTAATGTCTAGAAACAGAACCCCGGCTTTCTCCAAAGCCTGCAAGGAACTAAGCCATTAGGAAAACAGCTCTGTGTTCCTCTGAACTGTGCCACACACACTAAAAGACACTTCCAGCTAGCACTCCCGAGCCTCCAAGGCTCTCGCAGCCCCGAGAGGGCACAACCAGGCTGCGAGTAAGGGACTGAGAAAGGGAGACAAAACCATCGCCATTTGTTTTCTTCTTCAACCTACACTACATTGTCAAGTCAGATGATGGAGCCCTGGATTAGTTCCCAGAGCTTACCATGACCCTTATTTTTGAGACAAATACCAGGAGCAAAGAAGAAAGTTTCTCAGACTGCGGTAATGCTGCACAATCCTTGCCCATTTCAGGTGTGACAAAGGCCTACCCAAATTAGACTGCTGCACAAATCCCACTGGTGTTATGGGATCTGGGAATGATTTGGGTATCAGATTCAGTGGAGGCATATTTGAACTTGTCAGGAGAACATAAAAATAATCTGTTAATAACAATATATTTATCAGAAAAATATTTGTTTCAGGAGCCGCGCTTGTTTTTCTTTTTTTTTTCCTGTTAATCTAATTCTAGCACAGTGATATCACCAAGCCTTTATTAATTTCTTGTAATTGATTTAGAACATCTGTCTCAATTTGCTTTTATTAGTAAAGCTATGAAATATTCATCACAACTGTATTATGCAGTGATAGCCAATGCATTTGGAGTTCAGGATACTTTTAAGACACTCCCAAAGGCAGCCATTGCAAATCACAGATGGCATCTTCCTCATTACTTCGACGACCGATCAGATTTTACTAAGAAATGATGCAAAGACTTTTAGGTGAGCTTGACAAACATTTTCACAGCTCCTTAATCTCAAAGAATCCTAAACCCACTTAATATTTCAGTATATTAAGTTACTCGGAGAGATTGCTTAAGCTATCTCTGAAATGAAGCATGACAACCCTTTAAGAGCAGAAAACCCCCAGAATTATTCAGCCAACACGCCGGTTTGAGACATTTACTCTTGCAAAACGCATCATGATGTGCCAGGGTGACCCTGAGCAGTCAGGACCTTCATTTTATACCTTACCTGGAGGGTAACACTACCAATGGGGATTTCCACCAATGCGTAAGGACACTGGATTCACTCTGGAGTCGAAGAAAAGCAGCTGCTACTGCCTACAGCCTCTGCAAGTTTTAGCACAAGTCCCATCCAAACCCTGCCCTGATGCCTCCCTGTTCAGCCCGTGAAGCCTCACGTGCTCACGGCCCATGAGAGCGTGGCCGCAAACGAGCCTCACATTTCCCCTCTGCACCCCACACCGTGCTAAATCCTGAAGGCATTTCTGCTTACCATCGCTGCTCACAAATATTGTCACTAGCGTCTTCATAGCACTGTCACTATCCTGAGCCCCACTGCTACTGACTGACGTGGCTGCAGAGAGATTAGCACCTACGGATGCATGGGCACCAGCTGGCAGCAGGGCAGGAGCGGGCTGCAGGTTCCCTGAAGCTGCTAGAAAGGAATGGCATCGTTGTATTTAGAAAAAAGAAATAGAGACAGCAGTTTGTTTGTAGAGACACCGCCACACACACTGCTTGGCTGTACTGCCACAAAGTGGCACCTCTAGCTCCGTACAACAGCCCACCCTCACTTCCAGCTTCTTCCCTTCTTCATTTTCTATCAAGCGGCACAAGCAAGAGAAATCCAACTTACTCAAGACCGCTGTTAGTTTTACGCCCATTCCAACCCATCCACGACCAAATCACTTTGTCCTTCCCAACACCCTCCTACCTTGACGCCTCTAAACTCAAAGTAAGCTCCTTCTAAACCTGCCCTGGTAGAGAGGCCAGAGGCAGCAGGCGCCAGCAGGCAGCCGTAGAAGCATACCCTTCCCTAGGCAGAGACAGCCTCATTCTACTCGCCTCCAGTTATCAACAAGCCTTCTGAAGCCCCGACTGCTGAATACTTCCACAGACACCCCGTATACAGCCACGAGTTGTGAGGAACAGCAGCGCTGCCTCCCATGAATGCTCCCGCAGCACTTCACACTAGGATCAGCTTAGGATCACAGCAGTTGGAAACACGAGATGTTGAACCCCCATCATTAGTTATGCCTGGCCTGCGACAAGACATAGACCCATCTCAACTCCAGATATTAAGCTGATGCTTTGCTTCATCTTGACCAAGAAAAAGGCAATTGAAATGGCTGAACAAAAGCCTCACTTATTAAACATGCCAGCCTACCTCACCCACACACATAGCTGGGGTAAGAATTCTGTTTTCCATGCACCAGACTCAAGTCCCTCAAAGGAGCAGTGAATAAAAGTCATGGTTCATTTACTCACAAATTGTGAAGTGCTCGCCATCAAGGTTCAATTTGTGTGAGATAGGTATACGCACAATGGCCCAACTCACTGTGCTGATACCAACAGGAATCCATCGGGAAGTACCGTCCTTGTATCTTTACTCATTAGGGTTCCATTACAAACTGAATGATTATATAGCATCTGCAAAACAAAGCCTCCCGTCTGGCAATTACCACTTTCTGAGTCTGAATTTCTCATTATTTGAGACAACTGGTGGATAACAACACACTCTGACCTGCCCATTAAATGCAAACTCTGAATATCAAAGTTATGCATCTTTCCATTGCAGTAGATGGGGAAAAAAAAAAAACCTGAAACCAAAAAACCCAACTGAAACTGATTGCATCAAGTCATGAGTTAAATAAGTAATAATAAACTAAGGTTAATCTCACTAGTTTGACTACATAAGCTAAGTCACCGGAAATATAATTCACCAGTAAAATACCCGACTGCCTCACTCATTTCCAGACTGCTAGAAGGATCCAAAGTCACTCACCGCTGCATGCTGACACGCACTAAAGCACTTTGCAAAAGAGAAAGCATCGTCTTCTACGTAAATTATCAATTCCCTACTTTTAAGAAACTACTACTTTGGCCGTAGAACACTAATAACGTAGCCAAAGTTCCCTTCTCATTTTTTAAATAGGCCGCCCTTTCCAACACCTGCAAACCCCTTACTTCTGCACAGAGTTAAAAAAAAAAAAGCTGTTTCCTGCCCCCTAAACTACTCCCAGGACACCTGGCCTCATGCAGCACCCCCATCCTCTCAGCTCTACCCAGCACCCAAAGCTCTGCTCACAAATAGAGACATGGAAATCGGTTACACGACTCATTAACAGGTTTTTTAGCTATCAAATAAGACCACTTACTGGATAGGATGCAAGCAATCACTGCCATTTCCCTTTAATTTTAACACTGATAACAGGAATAATTCTAGACTAAAATAGTTAATTACCCGTAGCAGTTTTATCAACTGAATTATAATCCTCAACAACAGAATCTTCAATCACATCACTGATTTTCTGCCATGGTTCCAGCTCCTCCTCCTCACATTCCATAAAAAGGTCCGTGTCCGCCATCCTGCAAAGGGAAAAGAAGAGAAACCTTTATTGGAAAACTGTTTTGTCGGGCAGCAAAAGTCTCATTATAAGACAAATTCTAATGCCAGAAATATGAACAGTGGTTTTATTTCCTAGTACTCCAAAGAAAAAACCCGACTCCACATCCTACTTTAATAGCCTGTGTTTCCTTTTCAGATAAATCTGTGAAGCTGGTGCTGAAAACCCCTGGTTTTGACTTAAAATTGCAGTGGTTTTGTCTCTCCTACATAAGAAAGCCAACCCAACAGCTCTGGAATCACAGGTCACCACCCCAAGGCCCCAGCACCTTTAAATAAATTAATAACTGTGACTGAAAGAAGGAAGAATCACATTTTTTTGTTCTGTTTGTGGTTTTGAATATTCTAGGACTACTGCCAACACACGTGACCGAGACTGAGTATCCAAGCTTAAACGAGTCAAAAATGGGTGCACAAGTGTGCGAACAGGCCCCAGCGAACCTCGGCCGACCCCTGCAATCGAACCCGCCTGGACCCAAGCCCCCGCACGCTCCCCCGGCTCCTCATCTTTCTTGCAGCAGGGAATACGACAGCCAGCTAGGAACTATTCCAAAGAAAAAAAAAATTAAATAAGGGATTTTCTGCAGCAAGATCCATAGCTGTCTTTCAACTCACAGGAACGTTCCCTCGACTTCCAGAGTAAGCACCCGTTTCACCTTTCCTCTGCTACTCCCTACTGGCTATCCCCATTCCCATGGTTACTCAGGGAAAGGCCCAACAGACCATTCCAGCCCATCCCATCTCCTCACCAGTCTGTCTCCCTCCTTCTTGCCACCCATCTCTAAAACATCTCTTTTAGCTACGTCTTTGCCAGACAGGGGAGCAGAAACAAAAGCAATTACATAAGCAGGGGGTGTATCACCGCTAATTAAGGACTTGATAACGTTATAATTCGCAGTGTTACTTTTTGCTCCACTATTTACAGATCTTCCCACTTTTTTCGCTTTTCTGAGCCCCACCACACACAGAAGACAAGTTTTTAGGATCTGCCTACAGCAAAAGTCAAGCGTTTTCTCCCAGGACTGTAGCTCATCTGGACCTCTGATCTATAAATCTGTGTGTCTTTAAAACTTAAGAGTCCAATTACACACGCAGACCATCAAGCCAGAATTAAAGCCACGATGATTCACAGTTATCAATCGTCTCAAGTGTCCTACAGGAGATCTCTCTCAGAAGGTTGGAAAGCTGCCACCACAGGTCTCCAAAAAAACTGCTTTTCCCTACCATGACTGAGATGGAATCAGCGGACACAGCCCCGCAGTCACACTTTGACAGCCAACAGCCACTGAACCAGTGTGGAGAGGGGCTCTTTCCCAGACCTGGTCTTGCATGGTTTCAGGACTTGGCTGTTTCCAGAACTCATTTATAAGTGATGCTTATGCAAATTTTTAATTCTCCTTAATAATACATTTAGGAGTCTTTAACCGATATTACTAATTCTAGAAGCTCAGTTGCATTTTTAAAAGAAGTAAGGATTATTATAGGAAAGACGACACCACAAACCCTGGATTTCCCAATTTCCCACCTGGGTTATAGTAAAACAGAATCGATTCTTCTACCGACGGCCACCAGAAAGGCCGGTGAGCAGAACACATGGCACTTCTGCGCTGTAAGTGAATGGGAATCACGAGGTCTAGAAGGGATTTTGCTCTTCTTGATTACATTTTGGTGGCAAAAGAGACTGTTACGATTGCATTTTGTCATCTCTGCTACCATTTGACAGCCATATAAATCCGATGAGAAATTCCGAGGCAAACTGGCCAAAGCAAACAGCTCATAATAGGGGACAAGCAAGAAAATAATCCAACTCGTGTGCAGGCAGCTGTGTTTTCAAGAGCTACAGACAACAGCGAGGACCAGAGGCTCACACACAGCGTAACATTTATTAACCCACTGTTGAAAAACTAGAAGAGACCGAGCTTTAAAATGTAAGATGGATTAAGCAACCACAGAGCAATTAAATTGTAAGTCCCATATCATTAAGCTATGCCTACCCATCTTATCCTAACACAGCCCTAACTCTGGCCAAGCGAGCGCTCGATCTGCTATAAACTTCAGCTTGCAAATCAGTCTAAAGCTAGGATTTAACAGGAGCGGCTGCTTAGGCTGCGGATGCAACCACCTCGTGCAAACGCAGCCTAAATTCTCATTTCTGTTGTGCCACACGAGCTGTAAAAATGCAGAAGCGGGACCACCAGGAATTTCCTGCAATACAACACGAAGCCAAACCAGAATTTTGGCGCGTGTCGATCTGAAGTAACTCTCTCAACTAGGTAAGCCTCAAAAAAACCCCCTCCCACCAACAAACCCCTAAAAACTTGTTCTTGTTGGCCGAGTTCTAACTGCCAGCACGTGCTTTTGAAGCAGCACATAGCACTGTTGTCCTCAAGACCGAGGCAGCCTCTCAGGCTCTCATCCTTCTGCGCTGTACTTGCCTAGAAAGTATTTGCAGAGCTGATGCTGGAGTCGCAGGATGGTGTTTTACTAAGAAATACTCATTTTAGTTTTATGCTTGGTTCTACTAATACCTGTAATTCTCACTTCCCAATTACGCTTTTGAAGCACAGTAACATTCATTTTAAGAACAAGAACGATATTTAAAGGAAGCCCATCACACCACTCGCGTTCCGTAGCTGATCTTCTTTTGCTCCCCACTTCCGCCACCTTCCTATCGATGAAAGAGTCAAAGTCATTCGCCTCAGGCTGCACACAACTCCGAACAACGAGTCCTGCCATCGCTCCGACGAGGCTGCGGAGCAACAGCACTTTGCACTGAACCACTTTATGCCTATTCACACATACTGCCAGCCTGAAATAGTTAATACAGCTATCCCCCTGCCTCACAATTTTGCGTATTTATAACGCAGAATCTTAAATAACACGGCAAATAAAAACATTTCTGCATAATTTCACTTTATATTTCTATGAAATCGGATTTGCCCTTCCTTTAAAGGACAAAGAACCCCCAAAGCCCAACCCATCTCACAAATAACTCACTCCTACCAAGGCTACTTCTTGTAGTCTTGGGAGGACCGAAGGGGATTGCTCAAATTGCGGGTGTTTATGGGCTTGTTCAGCTACCAGGAAAAAGTCATGGCAGAGAAATGTTATCCAGTCCTGTGAAGGGAAGTACAAAGAGTCCTGTTTCTCAGGTAGAACAAAAGACAATTTTTTTCTCACTGTTTCAAGTCCTCCTCAGTCAAGTTCTAGCCTAAAAAGCACACTTGCAGCAACTTTAAACGACCTTGCTGTCCCCGAGCGCTCTGCTATCGTGTCCAGAGGTGCAAGCACATCTCCACTGCTGTTTCTGCTCGCTCTTATCAGACCTTCCCAGCCGAGTAACGGCTCCCGCCTGCCCAACCCGCCCCGGGAGCAAGTTACCAGCAAGCAGAGGGACACTCAGCGGTTCCTCACGCAAAATGCCACGGCTGTGCTCTGCACGCTGTAACGCTGCCTGGAGCACAGCGGGGAGATAGACTTAAACCAGCTGGAGACCAGAAGAGAGCTAGAAAATGCAATCCTCAAGAAAAGATGGAATGATAGAGGAGATTACTGAAGCGTGGTAACCCTCAGGTACGTAGAGGGGTATTGCAAAGTGGAAGGAAGAGATCTGTTCTCCAGCCTGTGATGGAAACCAGAAACGAAGGGCTCAAAGTGAAGAACAGATGATTCCAGCTTGGACACCAAAAAACCTTCCAGGAATAAGGATGAAGCAGTGCAAAGGCTGCCCAGGGAAGTCAGGAGGCTTCCAGCTCCAGGTGCCCCTGGGAACGGGCAGATCTGTAAGAGAAGGTGTCTGATTCTGTAAGGAGGTAAGGTGGGTTAAGTGTCTTGCTGGGGACATTTGAGGCTCCAGTTTTCTACAGCACCGTGCAATTCATGAACTCAACAAGCATTACCAGGCATTTCTGCGCTACTGCAAACCAGCAAGCATGCTCGAGTTGTGACACCGAGGCTTTTGCTACAGAAGCAATTAAATACTCCTGTAACAGTTAACTCTTCATCTTGTTGAATACACAAAACACCACTAATAAATACAGCACATAAACCAAATTACCCCAAACTTAACACATCCAAATTCCTGCTCACGAATACTGTATGGAGCAGCAGTTGTTCCTGTGTCCATTAAACTTCTCACAGAAACATACGCCTAGAACTAGCCTTAGTAAAAGGTCCTGTAATCAACGAGAAAAAGGAATGGATTAAAAAAAAAATAAAAATCAAGCCTCTGACTTGTCAAATAAAATTACATCAGTATAATTTTTTTAAAAAGAAATCAAAGAGTATTGTAATCATCCTAATATACAATTAACCAAGTGCATTACACTAAGCATGAAAAAGCTCACATTCTCCACAGCACCCATTACCTGTGTGCTTCAAAGACATTACCAGCTTCTTCATTTACATAAAACCTGCAATGTGTAAAAAATTTTATTAACCTTATCTCAAAGGTGGGAAACAGAGTTCAGTGAAATTAAGCGACTTGCCAAAGATTCTACCAGCAGCAAGTGGCTTAGAAATAAAACTTGAGATGCCCAGCCCCTGTTCACATCATTGAACACAAACTCAAACTTCCTCCTGTGCTGTTAAAAAAAAAGAGAAAAAAAAAAAAAAAAAAAAAAAGAAAGAGACACACAGTAACCCAACCACACGACGAAAATAATTTCTGAATGACAAATGGCAGGAAAATAGATTCCAAGAAATGAAGCTGTGAAGTACGGGTTTATGCTAGAGATCTGCTTAACAGGGGAAAGCAAGAATCAAAGAGCCTTAAGTATTATTTTCTCTGCCTCTTCACATAAACTTTTTTTCTAATTACAAGATCTTAGTAAAACCAAGAAAAATCTCATATGAGATACACTAAAATCCTGAGTGGGCAGCCATTACGCTGATCGATAGCTACGTATTTATGATTTTTCAATACTC